TTGTGGGTGGACACAATACCTTTATTTTATTTTTAATGTGGTGCTGAGGATCGAACCCAGTGCCTCATGCATGCTAGGCAAGCACTCTACCACTGAGCCACAACCCCAGCCCCTAGACCTTTATTTTATTTATTTCTATGTGGTTCTGAGAATCAAACCCAGTGCTTCACCCATGCCAAGCAAGTGCCCTACCGCTGAGGCCCAGCCCAGCCCCGGTACAGTTAATCTTAAAGGAGCTTATCTAGCTCATCCTTTCCTTCCTGTCCAGAAACTCAGACCACAAAGTGACAAGGGTAAGGAGGGAGACAGAGAACCTACATTCCAAGAGGACAAAGTCCAGGGTCCCAGAAGATGCCCTTCTCTACACTGTCAAGAAAGCCCAACCAAGAGATGCAGTGTAAGAGGAGGGATGATTTGGAAGCTTTCAATCACCCAGGATGCACCAGCTGCAAGCAGGAGGGGAGTCATCTCCTTGGGAGCCAAACACTGAGGAAAGTGTCAATGCCTCTCAAGTGCTAACTCGTACCTTTGTGGCTTTCCATCCAAATGACTAGGCCTGATTCTTTGGGTAGCACCCATCCTTAGACAAGAGAAAGAACCATCCAATGAACATCATAAATCAGTGAAATCTTCTCTTGACCCAGTAATTCTAAGAATGACCCCAAGATTTGTGGTTAAAGATACTCATCACAGTATGCTTTATAATGGCAAAACCTAGAAACATTCTAGTCCCCAACAATTGAGCATTAAGTAAAAAAGATTAAGGTACATAGCCATTAAAATGATGATGAGGAAGAATCTATCAATGTGCAAAAATACCCATCATAATTAATTTACTAAAAAACCCCAGCAGATTACAGAACAAAGTCATTTTATTTTTATAAAAAATCTGCAAATAAAACCCTAAAATGATATATACAACATTGTTTGCAATGTTGTTGGTGGTGAGAAAGGGACGGTGTGAAGTTAAAAAAAAAAAAAAAAAGCTCAGTTCTAGTATTATCCTTAGAAATAAATATTACAATAATATTTTTTGAGAGCTACTTGGCACCATGTAATGTGTTGTCTGTGCATTACCTCACTTAATTTTCACCATAGTCTTATAAGCATGATGATGTTCATTTTACAGGTGAAGAAACCAAGATGACTCAGAGAGGTTAGGTAAATTGTCCAGAGTTACACAGCTAGGTTGGGATTCTCACCAGCTCCATAGAATTCCAAAGTTTATTTTTTAGCTACTCTGCTAAAAACAGCTGCTCAGGAGCAACATAAACACAACATTTAAGGAAACTAAATTCAGACTTCTCACTTTGTCTAAATTAAGCAGAAAAGCAGGTGTTTAGAAAGTTAGGCAGACTTTACACAGAAAATATTTCAAGGTTGCCTAGAGCCAGATGTTGGCACCTTGGATAGATTAGCCTCTCTTCTCATACTTACATGCCATAAATCAGAGTAGTAAGTTGGGGGGGAAAAATACTTATTTCTAAATCTTCGACTTTGTAGACATCAAAGTTTCTCACTCAAAGGTCAAGGAGTCTTTAGGGTTTTCTACAATAAGATTAGGTTATATCTACAAAACAGACAATTTACTTTTTCCTTTCCCGTGTAGATACTTTTATTAATTTTTCTTGTCCAATTGTTCTGTCTAGGACTTCTAGTACTATATTAAATAGACTATTGAGACTGGGCATCATTGCCGTGTTCCACCTCAGAGACAAAGGCTTTCTGTTTTTCATTTTTAAGTATGAAGTTAGCTGTGGGCTTGTCATAAGTGGCCTTTATTATATTGTGGCACATTCCTAATTTGTTGACCGTTTTATCACAAAAGAGTAAAATGTCAAATATTTTCTTTTCATCTTCTGACATGATCCTGTGATATTTATCCTTCATTCTGTTAATGTGGTCTATCACATTTATTGATTTGCATATGTTGAACCGTTCTTGCATCTCAGAGATAAACCCAGTTGATCATGGGTTTATCTTTCTTTTCTTTTATTTTCCCTCCTTCTCTTTCTTTCTTTCTTTTGTTTCTTTCTTTCTTTCTTCCACCAGGTATTGAACCCAGGGGCACTTAACCTCTGAGCCATATCCCCAGTCCTTTTTACATTTTTATTTTGAGACTGGATCTCACTAAGTTGCTTACAGTCTCACTAAGTTGTTGAGGCTGACTTTGAACTCACTATCCTCACAGGCATGCACCACCAAGCCCAGCATATAATCCTTTAAATGTACTGTTTAATTCAATTTGCTATAATTTTGCTGAAAATCTTTTTTATCTGTGTTCATCAGAGATAGAGATGTGTGATTATTTTCCCCCTTATAGTGCCTTTGGGTTTGGTAAGAGGGTAACGCTGGCCTCATAAATGAATTTCAAAGTGTTTCTCCCTCTTCAATTTTTTGGAAGAGTTTGAGAATGATTGACATTGATTCTTCTTTAAAATTTGACACTGAAGCCCTCTGGTCATGAGCTTTTCTTCATTGGGAGGTTTTGATTACTGATCTAATCTCCTTACTTGTTAGTATTCTGTTCAGATTTTCTACTTTTTTGGCAGTACTGAGGATTGAACCCAGGGCCTCATGTTTGCTAAGCAGGCACTTCTACCACAGAGCTATAGACCTGTCTCCAGATTTTCTATCTCTTCATGATTTAGTGTTGGCAGTTTTTATGTTTMAAAGAATTTATCCATTTCTTCTAGGTTACTCAATTTACTGGTGTAGAAATCTTCATAGTATTCTTTTATAACTTGTTGCATTTCTGGCCTCAGTTGTAATGTCTCCTCTTTTATTTCTAATTGTATTTATTGGCATTATCTCTCTTTTTAGTCAACTTTGTGTATCTATTCAACTAAGAAACTCTTTCATTAATTTTTTCTATTGCTTTTCTACTTTCTGTTCCATTAATTTTGGCTCTGGTACTTATTATTTCTTTCTTCTGTTACATTTGGAGTAGATTGTTCTTTTTCTAGTTCTTTAAGGATTAAAAGATAGGCCATTTATTTGAGATTCTTTTTTTTTAAAATACTTTTTTAGTTGTCAATGGACCTTTATTTTATTTATTGATATGTGGTGCTGTCAACCCCAGTGCCTCACACATGCTAGGCAAGCACTCTGCCACTGAGCCCCAGCCTCAGCCCTCTTCTTCTTTTTTAATGCAGGTACTTACTGCTGTAAATTTCCTTTATACTACTGCTTTTGCATCCCATGAGTTATGGTATGCTGTGTTTCATTTTCATTTGTTTCATATTTTTTAAATGTCCTTTTTGGTTTCTTCTTTGACCTATTGGTTGTTTAGATGTGTGTTGTTTAATTTCCACATATTTGTGAGTATACACAGGCAAAAAGAATTAATTTCCACCCTTACATTATACTGTACTTAAAAATAAACTCAAAATGTATTAAAGACTTGACTATAAGACCCCAAGCTATAAACTCCTCAAAGAAAACATAAGGGGAAAATTTCTTGACATTGGTCTTGAAATGAATTCTTGGCAAAGGGGCTGGGGTTGTGGCTCAGTAGTAGAGTGCTTGCCTAGCATATGTGAAACACTGGGTTTGAGTCTCACACCACATAAATAAAGGTACTTTAGTAACTAATAAAATATTTTTTTTAAAAATCTGTTTTTTTTTTTTAAAGCACAGGTAAGGGGCTGGGATTGTAGCTTAGTGGTAGAGCTCTTGCTTGCACATGTGAGGTACTGGGTTCGATCCTCAGCACCACATAAAAATAAATAAATAAATAAATAAATAAATAAATAAATAAATAAATAAAATGAAGGTATGTTTAAAAACCCACAGGCAATAAAGAAAAAAAATAGACAAATGTCCGACTACACAGCAAAGGAAACAATCAACACAGTGAAATGACATTCTACAGAATGGGATAAACTATTTGCACAGTATTTATCTGATAAAAGACTAATAATCTCCTACAACTCAATAGCAAGCAAGCAAACAAACAAAAATAAGCCAGATGAGGTGATGCACACCTGTAATCCCAATGATTTAGGAGGCTGAGGCAGAAGGATTGCAAGTTCGAGGCCAGCCTGGGCAACTTAGTAAGACCCTGTCTCAAAACAAAACAAAAAAAATTTTAAAGGACTGGAGATATAGCTCAGAGATAGAACATTCCTGGGTTTAATCCCTAGTACTGTATTAAACAAACAAACAATCAAACTCCAAATAACTACATTTAAAACGAGCAAAGGAAATGGATAGACATTTCTCCAAAGACATACAAATGGCCACCAAGTATACAAAGAAGGTGTTTAACATCCTTAATCATTAGGGAAAAGCTGATCAAAACCACAGTGACATATCAATCACCTCATTCCTGCTAAGATGGCTATTTTCACAATACAGAACACAAAATATAACAAGTATTGGCAAGGAGACAGAGTATTATTGTTATTATATTATTATTTATTTTTTGATATTAGAGATTGAACCCAGAGGCACTTTACCATTGAGCCATTTCCTCAGCCCTTTTTATTTTTTGTTTTGAGACAAGGTCTGGCTAATTTGCTTATGGCTTTGCTAAGTTGCCCAGTCTGCCCTCAAATTTGGGATCCTGCCTCAGCCTCTCAAGTTGCTGAGATTACAGGTATGTGTCACTATGTCCAGCAAATTGGAACCCTTATACACTGTTGGTGGGAATTCAAATTAGTGCAGCCATTGTTAAAAAAAAAAACACAGTATATTAGTTCTACAAAAAACTAAAAATAGAACTGCCTATGCCTGTAGTCCCAGCTATTTGAGAAGCTAAGACAGGAGGATCACTTGAATCCAGGAGTTTAAGATCAGCCTTGGCAACAGAGTTAAACCATCTGATAAACAAAACAAACAGACAAAAAAAAAAAAAAAAAACAGATGATTCAGCAATCCCACTTTTGGGTATATATTCAAAAAATTGAAATAAGAAATCTCAAAGACATATTTGCATACCCATGTTCACAGTAGCGAAGATATGGGAACGACCTAAATGTCCATTGATAGATGAATGGATAAAAAAGTATAATAATTATACACAATGGAATATTATTTAGCCTTAAAAAAGAAGAAAGTCTTACCATTTGTGACAACACAGATGAACTTAGAGGACAGCATGCTAAGTAAAATAAGCCAAATCTGCATGATTCCTTTTACATGAAATATCTAAAGTAGTCAAAGTCTTAGAAACAGAGAATAGCATGGTGGTTGCCAAGGAATGGAGGAGGGAGAAATGGAGAGTTGTTACTCTGTGGATATTAAGATTCAATTATTAGGGGGCTGGGGTTGTAGCTCAGTGGCAGAGTACTTGCCTAGCATGTGTGAGGCACTGGGTTCAAGACTCAGCACCACATAAAATAAATAAAGAAAGGTATTGTGTCTGTCTACAACTGAAACAAAAATTTTTTAAAGATTCAATTATGTAAGATGAATATGTTGTAAAGATGTGCTGTCCAATATATGATTTATAGTAAACAATATGGTATTGCGCACTCTTACTTATATTCAGAGGATAAATCTGATGTTAAATGTACTTTTTTCCTTATTTTTATTGGTGCATTTTAATAGTGGGATTCATTAATATGTATTCACATAACACACACAGTGTAACAATATAATTTGGTCAGTATTTTTCCCTATTACCTTCCCATCACTCATTTTCTCCCTCTTCCTGATCCCTTTCCTCTGTTCTACTGGTCTCCCTTTAATTTTCATGAGATCCTTGCCTACCCCTACCTTTCTTTTCCTTTTCCCTCTCTACCTTGCATATATGAGAGAAAACATAAGTGACCCTCAGCTTTCTGAGTCTGGTTTACTTGGTTCAACATAATGCTTTAAGTTACATCCATTTTCCTACAAATGACATAATTTCATTCTTCTCTATGGTTGGATAAAACTTCATTGGGTGTATATACCATATTTTTTTATTTATTCATCTGTTGCTGGACACCTAGACTAGTTGGCTACTATAAATTGTGTGACTTTAAACATAGGTATTCATGTATCATTATAGTATGCTAACTTAATTTTTTTAGGATAAATACTGAGGGGTGGTATAGCAAGATCATATGGTCTTTTGAGGTATACCCATACTGATTTCAGTATATGATGCTAACTGTTCTTTTTTTTTTTTTTTTTAAAGAGAGAGAGAGAGAATGAATTACATTTATTTTTTAGTTTTTGGCGGACAAAACATCTTTGTTTGTATGTGGTGCTGAGGATCGAATCCGGGCCGCACGCATGCCAGGCGAGCGCGCTACCACTTGAGCCACATCCCCAGCCTTGATGCTAACTGTTCTTAACACACACATATTCTCCTGGAAATCTGAGCTTGCTGTGAAGTATGTACACAGGTAAGATACATACCTGGAATGGTGTTAATGGATCCCATCAGCTGCTCCACATCAGAAAAGTCCAAAGTCTGGTCTTCAAAATCAGGCTGTGCAGAGATTTCCACATCTGTTTTGGTTTTTAGGAATTTCCCAAGTCTGTTGGTGTTAAAACACATGCACACAAGAATGGAGGGGGACTGGGCTGTAGTTCATTGGAAGAGTACTTTCCTAGCATGTATGAGGCACTGGTTTCAATTCCCAGCACCACATATAAATAAATAAAAAATAAAGGTCCATGTTAAAAACAAAAAACAGGACTCAGGGGACAATCCTTAGGGTGAATCTATGGTGCTGATCCCTAGTAATAAACTAAAGAGACTGCTGAATTTTCATTTATTAACATGCTGCTGGTTTCCTTTAACTATCTGACTTGGTGACCCCCCTAGGAGGTCACCAATGAGGATAGGTGTGTTTTAGTCAGCTTTTTTGCTGCTATGACTTAAAGACCTGACTGGAAGGAAGAGGAGGAGGAAAAGTTTATTTGGGTGCTCACAGTGTCAGAGGTCTCAATCCATAGAAAGCAGGCTCCATTCCTTAGGGCTCAAGGTGAGGTTGAACATCATGGCAGAAGAGTGTGGCAGAGGGAAGTGGCTCACATGATCAGAAAGCCAAGAAAGATCTCCACTTGCCAGATACAAATATATATCTCAAAGCCACAGCCCCATTACCCCACCTGCCTTCAGTTACCATTCAATTAATCCTATTAGGTGATTAAAACACTGATTGTGTTAAGGATCTCATAACCCAATTATTTCTTCTCTGAACCTCTTGCATTTTCTCACCCGTGAGTTTCTAGGGGACACCTCACATCCAAACCATAACAATGTGGGATTGGTTTATGCCTACAAGGGGAATGAGAAAATATAGGATTTTGTCAGAGGTTTTGGGAGGACATCTTCTGATGAGATGCATCTCCACACCTTCTGGTGGATCTCAGAATCTAAACTGGAAACCCCCACACCCACATTACCTGAGGCTCCGAAAGGTACAGAGGGTTCAGACCCTAGGTGCTTTCTCTCCACTTGGCCAAGTACCCTCAAGTTGCTAATCTTAGGGCTCTGGGTCTTCTCAACCTACTTCCTGGCAGACACAGATTTTTAAGTGGCAAAGCCAGAATTTTAAACCAGGTCTATTTTTGCTCAAACCCTGTGTATAACCCTGACATAATTAAGTTTGTGTATTCACATTGCTTTATAGACATTGTCTTACTAGGTTTTCACAAAACTACCCTTGTTTGTACATAGGGAAAGTGGGTCTTTAGACTGGTTGGACCTGCCCACAGTCCTAGTATAGCAGGGCCTAAATTCCCACCTCTCTGATTCTAAGTGTGTGCATTCTGCAGCCTCACAGTCTGTGTTCTAGAACATCTGGGGATGATGGAAGTACTCTACAGATCTCAGTCCTCCTGATAAAATGAGGGGTTTGTGGAGGAGATTTGATCACAGATGAGCTGGCTGGGCCTCAACATTACATGCTCCTTCCAGCCATAAGATTCTGAAATTCAATACTAGAGGGCCCTCATGATCCCACACCATCATTCTGAAGCCAGTGCTATTTTACCCATAGGATCAGGCACAGAAGCTAAAACTAGAAGCATATAACCCAGTGGAACTGAGTCTAGAGGTGAAAGGAACAGAAAACAAAAATAGATGTTAGAACAAAAGTATTACCTGTCAGCCATAGCCACTGCATCCTACAAAGGAAGGGAAAAGGAAAAAAAAAGTAACTGGACTTTGGAAATAAATTTCCTTTTAAAATTGTATATGTTTTTTAAAAACTTGGAAATTAGGAAAAGGAAAAAAATCAGCCATACCCACATCCTAACAAAGCCACACTTATACCTGTGTGTTTTTCTTTACACTATTGCTTCTCCCCATCAATAGTACGTAAGCACTTTTCATGTCACAAATGGTCTTTTGGACCATTGATTTGAGAGACTGCAAACAATTCATTGAATGGAGACTCCATCATTTACTTAACTGTTCCTCTATTGTTGGACATTGGTTGCTTCCAATCTTTTATCATAAATAGTGGTGAGTAAAATAATTTCATGTGTATCACCCTCCACATTCTGGATTGTGTCTTTGAGACACAGTGACACTGTGGAACAATTGATTCAAAAGGTATTAAGTGTTTATGGCTCTGATGGGGCCTTCAAATTGTTCTCTGGCTTTATTCATGGACCCATGTCTGGAAGGAAAGAGGTGTGACTTGGCTTTGAGGGGCAACTGTGGGCTTGGACAATGTCGGAGAACACACCCAGTAACTAGGAGGCTGGAGGTCCCTTCCCCACATCCTGAATACCACATCTACCCCATAGTCCTATGGGGCCTTATGAAGAAAAGGGACCCTACCTCTGACTGACATTTAAATTCCCACAGCCCTGCATGGGGCTCAGATCAAGTTTAATTCAACTGAAATAAAATTAAGAAATGGATTTTTTAAGTTCATGTCTGAGTTTATGAAGTAAAATTTGTAATTACTACTCTTGTAATGGAAATTTAAGGTAACTTTTTATCCTGGACAACTTTTTCCCCAGAGCTCCAAGAGGCCATCTCAGGTGACCATAAAATGCTCAGTACACTATTTTTGCTCAGCTCCAGGTTAAGGGGACAGATCTCTGGGTAACCAGAACAGAGGAACAAAGACTGGTGCTACCTCAACAATGGTAAAGGGGAAGGGTCAGTTGTATATGAGCCAGCTTGGCCATCATGGCAAAACTATGCAGAAAGATGGAGCGACAGCTTTTCCATCATGAATACCCAATGGAATCAAATGAATGCTGACCATAAAAGTCAACTCCAATATCTCCAGATGGAAAGAGAACAGCCTAACCTTCCCTAACCATAACTGTCATTTCAGTTCATGATTTAATTTCTTTCCTGTTTCATTTCATTACTGACCTTTAAGAAATCAACCTTCTCCTCATGACACATCTCCTCTATTGTTTCCATCAGTTCTTTACAGGTGTCAAGGTTCTCTCCACAGCTGACCAGTTGTCCATACAAGGCTTCCAGCTTCTCTTTCTTTTTCTGCCCTAGAGTTTGTATTTTTTCTTCATATTTTTGAGCCAGCGTTTCCAAGATCTCATTGTAATGTAACTCAAAGTTTTGTTCTTGTCTTCCAAAATTCTCCTGTAAGACAGTTGATCTCAACCATCATTGAAGGGCATGTGATGTTGACTAGAGTCGTTAGGAGTAGGAAAATACATCCTCTCAGAGCTGTTTTAGTCCCTCTGTTCCTCTGCTTTGTCATCTATTGTCCTGATGCTGGGGTGAATGCTTGGGGGGGGGTGTCTCCATCCTAGATTCCCAAGAATAATCTTACAAAAAAGCACTGCTGTCTTTCCTGGTGGCATTTTAAATTCTCTCCAGTTTCAGCTATCTCCTATCACCATGACAACCAGCCAGGGAGATTATCAATGATGAGGTGGAAATGCTTGCCCTGAGAGATCCCCACCTATCATTCCCTCCTGAGCTCTTGATATCTCATGATGCTCATTTTTACTTCCTCATATTTGAATCTTACAAACATCAAAATTCCATCTACTGGGATCATACAACTAGGGGAAAGAGGAATAAGCACTGTGGCTAGGTGGCACTCCCTGAAGGATGACAAAATGTAGGAAGCAGAAGAGTAGGTACCTACAGCATTTAATCCAGGAGCACAATACTTGAAAAATAGTAAGTAGAGCATATTGGCTTCTGGTTCTTATTACTTATCTTGGAAACCCAGAAGAGCTTTGTGGGTTTTGACTGATGCCATTCTTGTCAGATGATGAGGACATTTCTGAAGAAGCTCTTATCAATCATTCAGAGTCATTAATGAACACCTACTATGTGCATAAGACTTGCTAAAAATGGTGAGAGAAAGTAATAGATGACTCCCCAGTGTGAATTATAAAAGATGGCCTCGAGTCCTCTCTGAGGATGAAGATACTCTGATCTGTGAAAAGCTGGCAGAACAATATATAATGAGTTTTGTCCTCATACTCCTCCTACTACCTCTAATACCCTCTGCTTTGAAGGGGAAGCTTTGCCCCTTGTGTCTTTCACAGGGGATTAAGGTAATAGTTCTCTTCCCTTTTAAGGTTAAGGTTGAAGCCCTCTTAATCCATGTGAGGTGATCCTGTTGATAATCTGGTGCTGCATTAATAGAAGTAGAACACCCACATGAAGAGGAGAAGGAAAGTCCTATAGTCCTCAACCCTGGTCTACCTTGGCAGGAAGAGTTGGTCAGGCTCTGGTATTACATTGAAATGCTATGTACCTATTAGGGCGCACCCAGGGAAGCATTAATCTTATGAGAATTAGATAGCAAAAAAGGTAAAAAACAACAACAAACAAACAAACAAAAAAACCACTTATCTAAGACAGGATGGGTGTCTTGCAATGGCCTGTTGAGGCAGGCCTAGAAACGGGGGTACAGCCTTGTTCTAGCTCTAGGGGCTAATCTAATCCATGAGCAGAGTTACAGAAGAGCAGCTTCTAGCTCAGTAATCTTGGCTCCTGGATCAAGAGCTCACAGTCTTCCCTATTTCAGAATGGGCAAGGAGACAGGCCTCAAAGGATGGGATGTCCCTTCCAAATTCGGCATGCTAAATTCATAATTTTTTCAAGAAAATCTACAAAATAGCTAACTAGAAAGAGAAAACACATTAACTTATTTTTTGAAACCCATGTAAAGCTAACAGAATGTCTGTGTTTGAGCAGTGATAACTGGCAGAATGAGCATATTACCTCATAAAACAACTAAAAACTCTTCAACAGTCCACACCTGACTTTATGTGGTAAACATGATAGGTACCCAAAGGCCTGTAAGTAACAATCCCCAAGAACAAGGAACCCTGCCATGTCTGGTGTCATAGCCAGTGCATCAGGTACCACCCAGTGTGTGAGGAGGAGGAGGAGGAGGAGGAAGAGGAAGAGAAAAAGGAAGAGAAGGGGGAAAAGGAGGAGGAGAAGATGAAGGAAGAGAAAGAGAGTAAGGAAAAAGAGAAGGAGTGGAGGAGGAGGAAAAGGACACCACAACAAGAACAACAAGCAAGCAAAAAAACAAGGGCAAAAGAAAGCTGTTCCCTTCTTTGACACCAGAGTGCAAATGTTTATCTGTCACTACCTGGTTGACACCATCACGAAGTGTCTTTGTTAAAAAAGTACGGGAGTTCTAAACCACATGCAATTGGTGATTAGGGTAAAGAGACACAGGGAGAAAAAGTAGCCTGTGAAGAAGCAGGACTGCAACAGGGAGATTGTTCCCTCTTTTATCCATTCAACAAATATATAAAGTGCCTGCTTTGAAACATACCTTAGAGTGGGACTGGGGATGAACAAATGCAGAAGACCAAGCCTCCTCACCCAGAGCACACAACTCAGTAGGGAATGCTAACAGGTAATCAGTACCACCAGGCTTATGGCTTGGTGCTAGGAGAGGTCAGAGGAAGGGCAAGGGGAGGGGGCAGTACTGACACCTCACATTTTAAAGAAAAGACTCTCTAACTTCTATTAGAAACAGTTGCTTCCTCGCTCACTGATGGAAGCCATGTGTCTGCCAAGGTCATCAGCCACAATCTTACCTCCACGGTGATGAAAACCTCTTCCAAGTGACTTGCAAAATTTTCCATCTCAATAATCTGCTTTTCCAATTTGTACATGTTTTTGTGAATTTCATCCTGTCCAACAAGCATCACAAAGAAGGTGTTAATGCTGGGCTAGGGTTGTGGCTCATCGGTAGACCACTCTCCTAGTATGTGCAAGGCCTGGGTTCAATCCTCAGCACCACATTAAAAAATAATAATAATAAAGGTATTGTGTCCGACTACAACTAAAAAATAAATATTTTTAAAAAGGTATTAATGCTACATCTGCTCTCCATCTCTCTTGGGGAAGGCATTTTAGATTTATTCCCTGTCTCTTCCCAAGACACAAATGTGACATCAAAACAGAGGACTCAGGAGATCTATTTACCTTGGCACTTTCCAGTGCTTTATTGAGAGGGGTCACTTCATGCTCCTTGTGTTCATCAAAAGCCCTCTCAACAGCTCTGATTGGAGTTTTGCAAGTGACACAAAAAACATCCTCAGCTTCTTCCTCGTCTTCCTCCTCTGGGATAACATAGCATTCGTACTCTTCACTGGCACGGCCATGGGTATACCTGTAGGCTTCCCGCAAGTCCTGGCACTGGCCAGCCAAGCCCCACCCTCCATAACCCAGGTCCTCAGCCTCAGCTGCCTCTCCTCCAAGTCTCCAGTCTCTCTGCTCCCTAGTTGGGTCTCTCCTCTTCATACCATAAGGAAGATATCCGGAAACTCCCATTCTGCTTTCCTCAACAAACTCATCCCCTAACTCCTGTTCATCTTCAAGTCCATATAAATGGACAAGATCATCCACTTCCTCTTGAAGGTCTCTTTGAATCTTCCTTTCCCCTGCCCCTCTTGGGTCCTTGGTCATTTCAGCTTGGACTACTTCTCTTCTCATTCTAGTGTTTTCTTGTGGAATGATCTGCATTCTGTCTTCAGAGTCATACAGATCCATGTTATAAAAGTGGAAGTCCTTAGGGGCAGTAGACCTGTCCAGCCCAGGTTCCTCCCCAGCTTCCTCCTCCATTGTTACTCTGGAAACTCTAGGAAGTATCTTTGAACAATCCTTCCTGGACAGTTAATAGTGAATATCTTAGATCCTACAACACAAAAACAAGGGGAAAATCAGTGCCTGAGAAGGTCATATCTTTGGTTTCTACTACTTCACACAAAATATTTTTTTAAAAAAAATTATCTGAGCAGGGCTGGAGTTGTGGCTCAGATGTAGAGCACTTGCCTAGCACATGTGAGGCACTGGGTTTGAGCCACATAAATAAAATAAAGTTATTATGTCCATCTATAATTGAAAATATATATTTTTTTAAAAAGGAAAGCTATGATTTCTCTGGGAGGGTGGACTTTCTAAGCTTTAAGAGAAGAAATTTAAAGAGAAATGTCAATAGATTTGACTAACAAAAGACTCCTATGCATTAAAAAAAAGCCTAAAACCTACAGCTGGGGTTGTGGCTCAGTGGTAGAGTGCTTGCCTAGCATGTGTGAGGTGTTGGGTTTAATCCTCAGCATCACATAAACACAAAATAAAGGTATTGTGTCTACCTACAACTACAAAATAAATATTTTTTTAAAAAGCCTAAAACTTCAAAGAGAAAATAATGGGAAGAGTTTCAGGATATAATTTTATTTTGTTGTTTTTCTTTATTTTACAGTACTAGGGATTGAACCCCATGGTACTTCACCACTGAGCCACATCTCTAGCCCTTTTTGTTTTTTATTTTTAAGTAGGGTCTCACTAAGTTGCTGAGACTGGCCTCAAACTTGTGATCCTCTTGCCTCAGCCTCATGAGTCACTGCAATTAAAGATGTACATCACCACAGCCAGCTATTTATTGTTACTATTTGGGGGGTTAAACTCAGAGGTACTCAGCCACTGAGCCACATCCTCATCCCTTTTTTTGCATTCTATATAGAGGCAGGGTCTCACTGAGTTGCTTAGTGCCTCGCTGTTGCTGAGGATGGCTTTGAACTTGCAATCCTCCTGCCTCAGCCTCCCCAGCTGCTGGGATTACAGGCATGCACCTCCGCGCCTAGCTTAATTATTCAGTTTTAAAATGTGTGTAACTCATTGAAAAATTAAGATCTAAATAGATGAATGTACAAGGATAATTCACAGGATTATTACTTTTTATATATTAGCTATAAAAAATATTTGAAAAGCTGTCTATACTTATGAGTAACAGAGAACAAATAAATAAGAAGTCATTTTGCCTTTCCAGTTTGTAAATATTTTTAAAATATAAAAATGATACCTGAGGGGCTGTGGTTGTGGCTCAGCAGTAGAGTACATGCCTAGCACATTCAAGGCCCTGGGTTCGATCCTCAGCACTACATAAAAATAAATAAATAAAATAAGGGTATTGTGTCTAATTAGGAAATAAAAAATATTTTAAAAAAATAATACCTCAGGGGCTGGGGTTGTGACTCAGGGGCAGAGCTGCTTGCCTAGCATGTTCAAGGTTCTGGGTTCGATCCTCAGCACCACATAAAAATAAAATAAAGATGTTTTGTCCACTGAAAAACTAAAAAATAAATATTAATAAATTCTCTCTCTTTATAAATAAATAAATAAATAGAATGAAGGTATTGTGTCCATCTATAACTAAAAAATAAATGTTATAAAAAAAATGATACCTGAAACTGGGTGAGAGTATGATGAGATGAACACCATCATGTGCTACTGATTAGAATGTCCGCACACCTGGAGAACAAATTTGGCAATTTTTTAGCCTAGCAATCCTCTTTTGGAATTCAAGGGGAAACCCCACATACATAGAAAACATTTATTTCTATATATAAAAGTCCACAACAAAAAAATTTAAATAACATAAAACACCTTTTTAAAGTCTTAATGGTTAAGAGAACAGTTAAGTAAACAAGAATATATATACACTGTACAGAATACAAATCATCCTCAAAATATTTACAGAGAACAAATAATTACTTAGAAAAAGACTTATAGTAGTATTAAATAAAATGAACATAATTTTCACTATATGTAATGCCCACTATTTTAATGGTCTAGAAAAATAACAACAATAATAATAGTGCTGGATGCAGTGGCTCAAACCTGTAATCCTAGTAGCTCCAGAGGCTGAGGCAGGAAGATTGTAAGTTCAAAGCCAGCCTCATCAACTTAGTGAGGCCCTGAACAATTTAGTGAGACCTTGTCTCAAAATAAAAAATTAAAAGGATTGGGGTTATAGCTCATAGCACCCCTGAAAAACCAAAACACTATAATAGTAATAGTAAATACACTATTACTAGCTGCTACTTATTAAAAAGCATTTTCTATGTGCTCTTTCTGCGCTATGCAGTATATATATATATTAATATCCTCCCTCAACCCTATGTGGTAAGTAGGGCCGGTATTATACCCATTTTATAGAAGAGGAAACTGTGGTTCCAAGAGGGGACCTCAGGCAAGAGCACAGTAAGTTGTTGAACAGGGATTTGAGCCTTAGTCTATATGGCAGCCAGGAGACAGATATCCAACTACAGGGAACATAATTAACTAGAGATTTCAGTTTTTCTCTAAAACCTATTGCCACATTGCACAAAGGACACACTCCTCACAAACAGCTACCTTCCAATGGCAAAGTGCTTAAGTCAGTGGTTGTTTTTTTTTTTAAAGAGAGAGAGAATTTTTTAAATATTTATTTTTCAGTTTTCGGTGGACACAACATCTTTATTTTCTTTTTATGTGGTGCTGAGGATCGAACCCAGCACCCTGCACATGTCAGGCGACCGCGTTACCACATGAGCCACATCCTCAGCCCAATGGTTTTTAATATATTCACATACGTGTTCAGTAGTCACTGGCACTTTTAGAACATTTTATCCCCTTAAATAGAAACTCTGTACCTTTTTAGTAATCACCCCTAGATTTTCCCCAGCCTAAGCAAACACTAATCTACTTTCTATCTCTACTGATTTTCCTGTTTGGACATTTTACATAAGTGGAATTTTATAATATATGATCCCGAGTGCTCCAGTAGTGCAATTAACACATGGTACTTAGATATCATATATTTAGCATATAGTATTTATATACTATACCTTAGATATAATGTATATAAGTATGTTTTGTGGCTGGCTTTTTTCACTTAGCATAATGTTTTCAAGATTCATCCATGTTGTAGCACACACATATTAGCATCACACACACACACAGAAGTTTTTCAAATATTCTAGATCTTAGCCTATTTATTACTGGATTCTTCATTTAAAAAATATTTTCCCCTATATTTAGTGTGAGGATGGCCTTAGGCCTGAGCCTAAGCAACTCCATTTTTAAAACTCCAGTTTGAAACCTACAGTCTCACCAGCCATACCCACAGAGCCCTCCAGGATGGCCTCAAACAAGTTTCTTCCTCTCACCCTGATAAACAGAGTGAAGCCCCTGGCAGGCTGTCCTCATCTGATAAGAGGGAAAGGCTAGAAGATCAGGGTAGAGACCACCAGACCAGATGTTTCTGACCCCAGGGTAAATGATGTCACTGAGAAATCCAGTGGTAGCTCATAAGGATTAAAAGGGGGTCAAAAGCCCCAAAATTTAGTATAAAAGAGCAAATGAACAGGGATTCAGCCAGCCAAAACAAGGATGCACTCGAGCTGGAGAGCCTGATGAGGACCTGACATCCCATTACTTGTCATTGTTCCTGATCCTCTGCATGATCCTCACTGCTCTCAAACTCTACCGCCTTGTTTGGACTCTGGTGAGAGCCGCAACCTTCTCCTCAACGGGTCCACTCCATGCCAGGAAAAGCCTGCCTTGGTTCCAGATCTGATCACCACAGTCTAAGTGTGCATCTGCTGGACATAAAGCCTAAGGCTTGAGACTTTTGAACTTAGCATGCAGAGGGAATGTCTGTCATTAACCTGTCATGATTAAGTGTGTTTTGCATGCTTAGAATTAATCTAGAATTCTTTGCTGTAAATTGATTACGTCTATTGCTGTGCCTAGCATTAAGGATTGTGGTTTTCTTGATTAAGAACCTATAGAGTGAAATTGTATTGAGTAATTTGAGTGAATAAAGCATTGAAAGGGGCAGAAGTGTGTGGACATTCTTTATTTCTCCCCTCGACTGCATACATCGCAATTTTGCCCCTCGAGACACTTAGGTTGCCTTTTAATTTTCTTGATGGTATTACTTGAAGCACACAAAAAAGTTAATTTGGGGGAAGTCTAATTTATCTTTTTTTTCATTTTTGTTGTTTGTGTTTTTGTTGTCAGATCTATGAACCTAATGCCAAATCTTGCATTCCTGGGGTAAAATCTCACTTGGTCCACGTTAAACTTTTTTGCAGGTTTTTTTTTTTTTTTTTAATCTTTCTCAGGTTTTGGTATTGGGGCAACATAGCTCAGAAAATAAGATGGGAAACATTCATTTTCTTCTTGAAAGAGTTTGTGAAGAATTGGTACTAATTTTTTTTTAAATGCTTGGTAGAATTTACTACCATAGTGAAGTCATATGGTCCTGAGCTTTCCTTGTGGGTAGATTTTGATTACTAATTTAAAATCTTTTCTTACTATAGAACTTTTCAGATTAACTATTTCTTCTTAAGTCAGTTTTGGTGGCTTGTGTCTTTCTATGAAATGCCCATTTCATTTAAGCTATCTAATATATTGAAATAAAATTGTTCATAGTATTTCTCTTTAGACTTTTTTTTGTGGTTTCTGTAAGCTTGGTAAAAATGTCCCCTAAATCATTTCTGATTCTAGTCATTTGGGTCTTCTCCCTTTTTTTCTGGGCCAATTTAACTACAATTAAATTGGTCAGTTTGTTAGTCACTTCAAAGAATCATTTTTTTTTTTTGGTTCTTTGATTTCTCCTGTTGCTTTTGTATTTTTAAATTCACTCTAATATTTATTAATTCCTTCCTTTTGCTTGCTTTTTTTGGTTTGATGTTCTTTTTTCCAGAGTCTTCAGGTATTGATTTGAGATCTTTCTTCTTTTTRTTTATTTTTTAATTTTTTTAGAATTTTTTAATATTTATTTTTTAGTTTTCGGTGGACACAGCATCTTTATTTTATTTTTATGTGATACTGAGGATCAAACCCAGCGCGCCACGCATGCCAGGCGAGCGCGCTACCACTTGAGCCAAATCCCCAGCCCTCTTCTTTTTAAATATAGGTATTTATAGGTGCAGTTTTCCCTCTAAGTACAACTTTGGATGCATCCCACAAGTTTTGATATGTTTTATTTTCATTATTTATTAAGTATCTTCTAATTTCCCTTTAAGTTTCTTCTTGTACACTTTGGTTATTTAGGAGTGTATTGTTTAATTTCCACATATTTGTGAGTTTCCCAAATTCTTTAGGTTATTGATTTCTAATTACATTCTATTGTGGTTAGAGAATATATCTTATAATATTTATATCCTTTTATAATTATTGAGGTTTGTTTTATGAGGTACTATAAAAATGGGCTAGCATAATAATGTTTTATGGGCTATTTTGAAAGATGTTCTGTATGTTCTTTAGAAGAATGTGTATTCTGATATTATTGAATAGAGTGTTGTAGAGATGTCTATTAGGTTCAGTTGGTTTACAATAATATTCACATCTTCCATTTCCTTGTTGATCTTCACTTAGTTGTTTTATTCATTATTGGAAGTAAAGTATTGAAGTTTTCAACTATTATTTTTATATTATCTATTTCTTCATTTATGTCAGTTTTTGCTTCTTGCATTTTAGTGTGCTCTTGATAGGTGCATATACATACATAATTATTATGTATTTTTGATGTACTGATTCTTTCATAGGGATAAATGTCTCTTTTTATCTCTAGGAATTTTTTAAAATTTTAAAGTCTGCTTTTTCTGATGTCAATATAGTCACTCCAGCTTTCTTGTAAATGTTGTTTACATAATATGTCTTTTTCTCTCCTTTTAATTTCAATCTATTTGTATCTTTGAATCTAAAGTGTGTCTCCTATATACAGCATATGATTGGCTATCTTAGTTATTAATTTTTGATATCTATACATTATGACAAGCCTCTCTAGAATTTCTCAATGACAATGATTCTTTGGAGTTAAGTTATTGTGACTTTTTCCATATCACAAAATGATATTTCCTACAAAATAATATATGACACCCCAAAATAAAAGATAACATTCAAGTTAAAGAATGTTAACCTAACAGTTAACATTCCAGTCCTCAACTTTTTAGTAGGAAAGAAAACCAGGGTAAACCAGATTGACATCTACAAGTCTGCTAAGGACTACACATACAACATGGAAGGAAGACAACTTACCATAAAATATTAAGCTACAGTAGAATAGTAACTATAAAGTTGGAAAATTCTAAAGGATACTGTAAGGCAGAGGGAAACATTCTTAACAAGGATAAACTTAACAGGGGTTCAGATCTCATTGAGAAAGTTGTGATTGCAACCCATGTCATGGCAAACAAATTCACTGAGTTGTCCTGGTCAGAGCTGGTCCACAAGGAAGAAAAACAGAGACATCAGTAAACCAAGACTGGGTGGGAATGGAGGGAAAGTGGTCACAAGGCCTCATGAGAGATCCTGAGTCATAATCACCCCCAATAAGCTACTCTCAGCTCTCTTTTTTATTTTATTTTATTTTTCAGTACTGGAGTTGGAACCTACCACTGAGCTACATCTCCAATACTCTTTATTTATTATTTTGAGATAGGATCTTGCTAAATTGTTGAGGTGGCTTCGAGCTTGTG